CTATTCTTTTCTCCTCGATTTTTGTAAGCGCAGTTTGGCGGGATGGGGGGGGGGGGGCGAAGTGCTACTCGCTATTGTCGTGCATCGTATTATTGCTTTACAAGAGTTGGAAGGTATTCTTAGCAGAAGTTGACCTGTAGTTTCTACGAATTTTGAGTGGTATCACATCATAGCTTCACATGATTCCACAGAGCTCGACCTGATGGTTCGACACGCCTATGAGAAGCAGCTGAATTGCAAAATACCCTTGCCCAGCTAAGCCAAACCGATTTCTAAATACTGGCATGGACCACCGATTTGTTGTGAGTGCACATACATGGCTCACCTAAACTTTCTCAAGGACTCCAAGGAAAGCGAACAGGAAATGGTGGAAATGATTCCCATGAGGTTTACAAGACCTCGTTTTTCCCATTTGTGCCGCACCTTCGAAAAAAAGGGCCCCAAGTCCGCCCCTTCAGGTAGCGAGTTCACTATGGTGATTCTACGTTACATCTTATACATTGAGCTGCCTAGCTACAGCTGCGGAAAAAAACTTGGAACAAGCCACAAAATCGCGTTTTAAACAGTTCTGAAGCTCTTACTTCAACAGCAATACAGTGGAAAGGTGAGCAGATAGCGGAAATTCAACAAGAAAAACTATTCAGCGCTCTGAATTTGGTTTGCTTACTACTGGACTTGATTAGAGCCTTCATCATCCGTGGAATCGACTCCACAGGAGGTTGAGGGGTATCTAGGGATACTCGACTCCGATTTGCTTAATATGCATGGAACTTTTCAACCGTATTCGTATGGTCTACTTTCCTTTCTCATGCGTCGAGTCAGCTCAAATATGCCTGATGGGGTTGAGATGAAGGCTTTTACTCGGTCATTTCGTCATCTGGATACCGGCACTGGAAGGCGTAGTCAAGACCTCTCATAATTCTGTGTTCGCTCATGATCAATTTCACTGATCTGGATACAGTTTTTCCAGGTATCCTTCGTCTATTTTGTAGTCTCTTCTATATTGCCGTATTATTACGCCTATAGCCACAATATTCTTTACATAGTCGAGGGAAATCAAGCAGTTTTTGAAGAAAATTCCGATTCTGTCGGTTCGTTCTAAGGTAAGTTTTTTTGTCCGCAGCTGTATCAGCCCTAAGTATCAAGCTACGACACCAGCTATAGTAGGTTCGCTGCGGATGACGTGCCCGCGGCTGCATTCGGTGCACCACCAACCCGTTTTTGGCAAGCGACAGGACTGTACCATATCGTTCGTATCACTTGTTTTTCACCAGTTCTTGTCATTTACCCTCAAAGTTGGAATGTATTATTTGCCGGCGTGCCAAAAGCAGCCGCGCGGACAGGCTCCATCATCAGCAACCAGGCTATACTTCGATTTTCTTGATTTCATGCGTCCGCTGGTAGAGGCGATCCGAACGATCCTGCCAATTCTCGTGAATCAAAATGGCTCGTTTGCACCGTTTTGCAGCTTCACATGAGTCTACAGGTCTCACCAACTCTTCTCACAATCTTTTTGTTAACATAAACTAACGAAAGTAACTGAGGTGGAATCACAATAAGGATTAGGCTTGGGGGGGCACTTTCCTGGCTTACCATCGATCACCGCCAATGCCTCCTGGAATCCTGTGAATTCTTGCAAGTCCTTCGCAGAAGCAAGAGCTTCATTCACACTTGGCAAGAGTCTATAGGTCTTAACCAAGGTGAGACGTGTAACTTATCGAACTAGCAAAATGAACCAGCAAAAGAGCAAAATGTCCCTCCAAGCCGAAGCGCCAATTCCCCAGGCGTGACCCTTTGTTCCCCACCCACTCAACACAACATGGTTCACGAGTGAAATGCATTAGCAGTGCATGTTATTAGGCTCGCTAAGAGTGCTGCGCAGACAATTCACCTCGGCAAGAACTCCAATTTCAGTAAGAAATCCAGTCACGCAACCAGCGCAATACGGCCAATAATAAAGCCCCTTGTAGACGTCCCCGCGTCTCCAACACAATATCGGACATTCATTTTGGCGCCTTTGATAATCGCATAATTCACAATGCATGCCGGAAATCTAATCACGCCTCAGATCCGAGCCTTTCCTTATTCGGAACAACGCTCATCCCCTCCATAACACGGCGACGGACGAACAACGAAGACTGGACGAGTTCCACCGTGGACCAGAGGTCATTATGAAACCGCCCCATAGCGGAATATGGAACGCATTATTCATGGTTTAATTACGAAAACGGTGGCTTCTTCCGGAACTGCAGCGATCGGTCAAGAAGCGACCCCAGTACCAGTAATTATGGAATAGATAATGGCATCATTACAGTAATTAAATGACTGCTTGAATGAGTTATGATGGGCTCGCGTTAACCTCATGACTACTACGGTCACATTCAAAAGCTACTAGATATGGTTGTCAGAGGAGTAACCAGTTATTCACCATCGGCGCTCCTACGGCCTTCACACAGAATTCAGTTTCATTAATAAAAAGGTCCTGAACATTCCTTATGAGGCAGTAGAAAGCCTGGATACGGTGGGCATGAGTTGGTGATCAAATCAGCCGCATTCGTCTCTTGCGTAAAGCTACTGTTAGTAGAGGGATAAGAGGTAGGTTTAGGTTGGGCTGAGACAGGACACGTCCTTCCGTTTTGAGAGAACTTACGAAATCCCCCTTCGCCCTTTCTCTCTCCGACACCTCTCTTCTCCGTCTCTACCTACCATCTTCCAATGTTTTTCCAGCCTCTTACTACTTTTGTTCCCAGCTTTTCCATTCTTTTCAGCTTGCTTCCCGAAAAAACTTGCTGATGAGCGAGAAGGGGGGGCGGGAGGCGAGGATCTGGAACACCATGGAAACGGGAAATACCTAGGAAGGTGAACAGCGCCGAAAAATTTCCCTGCAAAGCAAAGTACTACTAGAACACGACCCTTTCCCCTTCCTCCTCACTTGGAGGTAGCGGCGTTGCCGTGTATGAGAGGGTTTCGACAAGGGCAAGTTCGTAGTCTTCAATGAGGAGCACTGAGCCGGAATTCAGAGTAAGTCTCTGCGAGTAATGTTCTACGAGCAGCGAACAATGTCTTCAAGCTTCTCGACAGATTTGAGGAACTACTGATCAGCTTTGGCCCCGATCTGTGACAAGAGAGCTTGTGGATCGTGACATTATTGACATTAAAAAAGTAATTAGCGGTAAAAAGTACTTAGCATCCCACCGAGCTCGACAGTGTCCATTTTAACCCGCCGCCTACATAGTAATATGAGAGGGCAAGGGTATGTATGTAGGTATGAAGCAGGGAAACGCATAGACTGATGGATTAATAAGGGATACCGCTCAAAACCAACCGTACTAATGCCGTAAATGCCATAAAATAGAGGAGTGGAGGCACAAAAGGACGCCCTGGTCACTTGTAGTATCATAAAGCATGTTCTGAGTGTTCCCGTAGAGTGACGGGAAAATTTACTCTTGAGAATTGGTTTAGTAGAGGACGACAGATTCCCTCATTTGGGTGGGGGTGGGAACAGTTAAAAGGCATTCGTTCTCTTTACGAGAAGCAATTTATAGCTAGGAATATTTCGCCCCGGGTTTCCTATGTTCCTCGCCACTCTAGATAACCTTTAGTGCTACTTTGGTGCCCGACAGCCGAGCTTGATTTTGACCCTTCAGATTTGATAAAGAAAGCGCTATCCGCGATGAACCAACGGCCCTTCCTGGGCTCTCGATTCTCCTAATGAATCCCCTAGTACTCCTATTGACTCGAAACTAGTGGACCAGAAACGGAATGCAAATTATTACCTCTCCAACCAGGCTTACATTCGCATCTGTATCCGTTTTCAAGTGGGTGACAGGTGGCATTGTTACGACACGGATTACTGTAGCACTGATCCACGCGAAGATCGCATTGTCCGGGCTGATCGACGGAACCTGTAATTAGTGTATGTATGATCTTTGAGACTAGTAGAAGATTTTGACGGTAATATCACCAATCATGTACTTATTTGAACGTTATTTATGAAATTATTTATTGAAAGGGGGGGGGGTGTGGAGGTGACCTTGTGGCGGTGGCCACGTTACCAAGCCCACGGCTGCGGAGGTCAAACTCCGGATCGGCTTCAGCCCAACCAAACGAACTCCTTGTCTTCCCGGGACCGGTTACGTGATACCACATTCTTCTGGGGGATGAAAAACCTTGACTTGTCGCCTGGCTGATACCACGTGGAGTGGGCCGAATCCTGCTCAGTACCACTACGATTCTGAATAGAGGCATGATGCGTGGCTATCCAGAAAAAGACTGATAAACGACATGAGCTTCATCATGTTAATCACTAAAGCATTCTGTGTTAAGGCATGGACTATTCGTTGCTCATTCCCGAGCTATTATGGACTTTACCGATAACCAGCTCGTTTTCGGAAACCGGAAAACGAGACATAACTCCCATCCATATATGGATTTGGGCAAATTGATAACTTATAGGAGAGCATTCTGGGGCTGGAGATAACTCCAGAATAACGGGCAGGTACATACTTTCCATGCCGATTGTAGTCGCTGGGGGAGTAATTACCGTGTACAAGCCCCATTTTGGTTTCTAAGGTTACAATTGTCAAACTGATATGGATGAGAGTTATGTCTCGTTTTCCGGTTTCCGAAAACTAGCTGTTTATCGGTAAAGTCCATAATACAACCCAGCCCCCCTTCCCCAATGTGCTCCTTGGCCAACAGGAAAAGTCAACTCTAAAGAAAATTCGCTCAGGCCAAGGAGGCGACCCCTTCCCTCCAGCGACCAAATGTGACTCCCTCTTGGCTATCCCCAGCGTACCACGCGCCCTGACTACTTTTCCTATCCAAGCCACAGTATCGCTTACTTTTTCGCATTCAGGCTTCTTAAGCCTCTGACCGAGAAAGAATAATCAAGGTCTGACCAGTATGGGCAGGAAAAATTTAGATGGCCGATGTTATTGAATTTGTCATTTCTATGTTTCCTTCGAGCTAAAAGTAAATAAAAAGAAAAAAGAAAACTGAAGCTAGCCGGACAGAGGAGATTCGTTGGTCCCTAGCAAATAATCACGCTACTTTCCCATCCACTATAACCGACGGGCGCATTTGGGCCATAAGATGGGCTGCCTTAATTAGAGGCGATGCCTTGGCATTGCACAAACAAAGTGACCAGGACACTTGAATTGCACGCGACATTAATTGAAGTCGTCCGTCCAAACTGTTTTCGCTGTCGGCTGTCTCTCTTCGGCAAGATGAAGTGGCAAACATGGAGATATCGGCTGTAGGCACGAATTTAGCGGTGGCACATGAAGCTCAAGCTCGGCCCAGGACCGAAGAGTCTTTCGAAGATTATGTCTGAGCTGATAGATAAGGGAGGGGGGGCACTTGCTTCACTAAAGAGGATCTTCATTAAAGTTAAAGCGTATGGACACTCAGGGAAGGCACAGATTTGGACGAGCGACGACGGAAATGGTATGTATGGTGAGGATGAAGAATCGTATCAAACAGTGGACTTTCGGAAAGCGTCGTATTCTGTAAAATTTCTCAGTACGACAGGACGTGCCTTGAGTGGAGATGTCCACGCCCTCTACTCCCTCCCCAATGAAAGGCAAATTCTCGAGAAAGTTCGATAAGGTAAGGCTTGCGTTTAAACGTGCCCCTGACGGGGCGTTGGTCCACGCGCCCCATGTGGAGAATAAAATAAGTAAAGTTGAAATGGTAGAAGTCAAACTTACTGGCAAATCCAACGGGACATTCACATAGAAATGTCTTCCAACGTTTTTCAGCGTTCTCGCCATGAAGCTGTCCTGTCTGATAAACCTGAAATTCGAACTAGGCTTAGGCGCGATAGCTCTCAATAACTGGTTATAGCAAGCACTTACATCAAAGGCGTTGACGTGTTTCAGCGTCTGACGACATTTCTGATAGTATGGGCAGGGTTCACGGGCACAGCTCTCGTCTCGAATCACCTCCATTTTCATCAGTGAAGTCCGCTCCAGAAGTCGTACCTCAGATCGGAGGAGATCTTCGACTTTCCATGATCTGAAATGTCATGGTTACTATTATAGGAAATGTTCCACAAGGACCAAGAAATGAGAACAGAATGAGAGTTGTGGGCGCTGCTCGCTTTGCAGGGGAGGACGATTTTGTACTTTGATTAGTTCCCCTTGCTAGTTCATTTACTTAATAGGTCTCATTTTGTGATGCCAGTAGATCCTGTAAACGCTTGTGAAACTGCGTAATAGTACAAGTGAGCCACTTTAGTTTCGAGAATCTACAGGTCTTCACAAGGTGGATGGCTAGGGAGGTGCCCCCCCTCCCGCCCCTCCCAAGCAGGAACTGCACCAAGCCTTCGTTAGCACTGAAAGGTTGGCAGAGGGTATCACACACAAAATTTGCCGCAAACGCCGGAGAAAACTCCATTCTGGACCATCATACGTGGCATCCCTGAGCAGAGCAGGTGGCGGCGTGGTAGAAGGACGCAGAAAAAATTGAATTATAGATGTCGGTGGGAGGCGGCAGTTTTGTCGACGGGGGGGAGCCTTTTTCCTCGAGTTGACATGTTTTTTTGGCAATGGTGATGATCTTACTCCAGCTTCACAGGCGTTCACAAGTTTTACCATGGTGAGATTCGTAAACCGGAACTAGGGAAGCAATGTTAGTACAAAATGCCCCCCCGTCGCTAAACAACAGCGCCGTCGGGGATTTATTAATCTAAATCTATCGGCCGACCAGTGCGAACTTCTGTCTTTGTTCAAGGGTGAGGCTATAGGAGCAGGGCTGTCAAGAATACAGCGAATGCCTTGAGTAAAATGAAGTTTTTCTTGCCAAAATGTTGCATAGAGCGATTGACCATACAATGGCGCTCCGGATTTCGAACTTGAATAAAAAATGGCGCATTCCATGGGGTTCACAGGCTTCATTCAACAACGTCTCTCACTTTCATAATCCCGAGATATAGATCCCTAGGAATCCCCACACCCGATCCCAGCAGATGTGCTCATGCCACATTGAGCGGTTTCCTTCTCTGTAATGTGCAACTGCCATGCGACACCTAACATATGGCGTGATGACAGAAACACGAAACTCATCCGTCGAGGACCGGATATGTAATGGTGAGAGGATTTTTGGCTATCGTCTAATTACTGGCGCGGTCTAGGAATTGTGCCGTTTAGGGATAACGAGTCGTAAAATGCGCTACTAGGCATTTGTTCCCATTGAGGAATATGGAAGAAATGAAAGAAACAGGTTTCTTTGGGCTAGCGGCCGTTATGGAGTAAAAGTAAAGTAGGAGAGAAAGAGGTTCCTCAAGAAGAGTTCTCAAGATGCGAACTGAGCGCTGTCCGGCTTAGGAGGGACACTTCCACCTTCGCTAGTTTCTCTTGCTAGTTCCTGTTGAACTACGAGAAACACCTTGGTGAAACGTGTAACTATCCTGACTCAGGTGTAAGCCCTGCTATGCATAGCCCCAGGAACTTCTAGGTTCTCCACAGGAGGCATCGGCAGTGATTTATGGGATCCAGAAAAATACCCCCACCAAGACAAACTGCGCCACGAGCGTTCCACTTCCAGTGTATCCGCAAAGCCCATGTTGGCCGAGCGTTCCACTTCCAGTGTACTTCGCACAAGCCTTGTTGCCCAAGAAATTATCGAAAAATTCACAGCTTCATGTTTGAAAATGTTTAGGCTTATGGGAACCACGAGCGGAACCCCATCCGCTGTGAAAACTTTGAAGAGCAAGGAGTGAAGATCCCCTTTCGTATGTTGTTCCTGACTGCCGGCTTTGTCGAACTTTGGGCGCACTTCGGCTTTGTGGGGGCACGAATGGTGTCAGCTGTCCTTGTACAGGCCGCTTTGTGATGACAGGCAAATTCCCATGACCACATAACTTAGTCAAAGAATATCTTATCTTCACTGGGGTATACAAATATAAGTCCAATGAAACCTGTTAACAGCTACTAACAAAAGCCCCCCCCAAGCCGAATAGCGCCGAATTCTGGAGCATCCTCATACGGGAAAACGCATTCTACTACAATACTAGAAGCTACACGCATACCCCTCCGAAATTAGACCATCTCATATCCCTTTGGTGGGCGAATTTTCGCGCCTTACTGGTTTATGATCATATGGTGACGAGGTGACAGATGCTCGTTAGCGGCCGGTCGGGTAAAAACCACTTGACAAGCGTTATGAAAGAGACCAGTCAAAGGATATGACGCGAACAGTTGCGATTTGTCGTCGCTAACAGATGCCGACATTCAGATAGGGTCTTCAAAAGGGTATCGACTCATATGGTAGATGGAAATAACGGTAGCGCTCTTATGGGAGGCTGTTCTCATAGAAATCGGTGGAAGAAGCCTTTGGAGCGCTTCATGGCATTAATCCCCCACGTCAAGGATTCATGTCCACCTCCCGAGGCATGGAACGATGTTCAGTTTGGGAAGCGGTCAAGGTTAGTAACTTTAGTCCGAACAGGACAATATTCAACAGGAAATTGTAGGAATTCCTCACGAATATTTTGAAGGAAGAAGATGAACAGGGCATGTTTTGCGGGGAAGATTTCGCAGATATGATCCTCCCCCCTCAAAAGTTCCTCCTTTGGTACAACCTTCATCGATCGAATAAGACCCCTCCAACTATCCCGCCCTAGCTGGGATTCTCAATCCACGACTTGCTTTAACGTAAAACTTACTTGACAATCCTGCCGCGATCGCTGACCACCAAGCTGACTTCTACCCCTTCGCTGAGTCGATCAGCTCCCACTATGAAAATGTTCTGCTCCTCCCAGGTGTCAAGGCTTGCCAAAGACTGCCTGCAACAATTTGTGTTATGACGACATCGAGAAGGTGAATGTAGTCACCAGTATCTAGACAGCTTGACCATCAGCTTCAGGGGTGACAGCTACAAAATATTAGGTTGTCCGGAAAGTTCTCAGCGTTTTGGGTGTTTCACTTTAAACGATCGTAACTTTTTTAATACTCATCGGATTTAATCGAAATAGGCACCATTCGAATCAGCACACTTTTGCCAATGTGACAGCAGTCGAGAAATCCCATCAAAATAAAAAACTGGGTGGTCGAAAATTACGGATCTACGAAGGTCTTTTTTGCCTGGTCCTAATTGATGAAGTATTTTTCAGCAAGGAAGTTCTGAAAATGTTTGAAAAGGTGATAGTCGGTTGGTGAAAGGTCTGGAGAATATGGCGGGTGAGGTAGAACTTCAACCCCCAATTCGTTCAATTTATGGATAGTGATTTGTGAAACGTGTGGGCGGGCGTTGTCATGCAAAGGAATCGGACCCTTTCTTTTGATAAGTGTTGGCTGCATCTGACAAAATTTTCGGTACAATTCGTCGATTTCTTCACAGTAGGGTTCTGCTGTGATGGTTTGGCCTGGTGATAAAAGTTATAGTGGATCACACCAGCCGATGACCACCAAGCCGTGACCAGAATCTTTTTTTTCGTGAGGGTTCGGCTTTGAAAATTACCTCGGTGGTTCGTCGAAATCCAACCACTGTCCGGAACGTCTCCTGTTATCATACATGACCCATTTTTCATCACAGGTGACAATTCTGTCCAAAAACAGGTCATTTCTGTTGCGTAAAAGCAGTGAAGAAGGAACCTCGAGACGTGCCGATTCCTGCCGGTCACTCCGATTGTGGGGCACCCAATTGTCGAGTTTTTTCACCTTCCCAATGCGTTCCAGACCATCTGCAACAGTGGATTTGCCAAGGCCTAGCTCTTCTGCTATCTCTCGAACTGTTTGGGATGGGTCAGCCTCCAAAATCCCCTCAAAATCCTCGTCAGATATTGCTTTAGGTCGACCGCTATGAGGTTCATCTTCAAAGGGCGAAATCTCCAGAACGAAATTTGTTGAGCCATTGCCGCACAGTGCTTTCTCTAGCACTATTGGGCTCCCACACCTGGTTAATTTGTTGAGCTGTTTCGATTGCGGATTGCCCCAATTTATAGTCGAAGAAAAAAATCGTCCGAAGTGCTCTTTTCACATGCTTCAAAAAGTCTTGAAAAAAGGGGGTTTATCAAGCAATGGTGAAACGGCAATTATACCATCAGATAGCGCAAGAAATTCTCTACAGGATGTGCTACTGAGAAGCAAGGCAGAATGAGTTTTTAATCAGCAGTGAATGTACAAAAAATAGGTGCACAAAACGCTGAGAACTTTCCGGACAACCTAATAAAAGCAGGGGAAGTAGAAGCTGTGTGAGCTTTACCTGAATCTGTTGAACACGGTAGGATCCCAGAAGTCGTCAAGGGACATTTTTGGCAGGAACACGGTCACAGCTTCACGTAGCGAATCTTGTGTTAGGTGTACATGAATGAATCGACACTTGGCGCATACTGTATTCGGACCGTCTGAAATGGTATTTTTTAGGACTTTTTGGTACAACTTCACCGCAATCCGGCCGCGTCTTATGGTTAGATCAGAAATAATGAAATAAATGAAAAATGCGAGACAGAATGACCATGTAAAATTTCTAAATGGAATGATCATATTGATATGATCATATTGATAGAACGCCGCATGGACCATGCTGGTTATATGGGCGGAGGCCTACAATGTGCTTTTCTCATTGACGTTCTTTTGTCATTTTTGTCTAAAGGAAGCACCATGGATAAAGGTATGATGGTTCCGACTCCACCCATACGACCAGCATTGAAAGGAAGAGTCAAAAATTCAACAACAAAAGCAGGAAATATCAAAATATTCCAAAGCTGGGAAAAAATGTTTTGGTATATGAGGCAATCACTGGAAATTACTGATAATTATAAAAATTACTGATAATTGATCATGTGTATAAGTAGGTGAAAAGTTATATAAGCTGCAAGCCTAATCGTCAGACCCACCTGAAACACAGGTCTTGAACTGAGTGTCAAGATTACGTTTCCACTGATTTTTCAGGATCAATTTTCCGGTGAACTTCTCGACAGTGACGAGCTGATTATCCTCCATCCAGTATTCCAAAGTTGCATTTTGATCGGGATCGCTGGAATGAAAGCATCACTCTTTCCTTCTTCTTCCTCTCTATCGGCACCAGTTCCCGTTAGAGGCCGAAAATCACTTACAAGGCTGGCACGATGCCAATTTGGGTGATCCTTTCTTCTGACTCGTATCGATTGATTAACACTGTGAAATCGCTGAGAATCGGACGATTGTCATTTACATCGGACACGTGGACACGCAGCACGACGGTCGAGCTCAGCTGGCCGCTGAAACTACTACTTTAGAGAAGTCAGTAAGGGGGGGGGGAGCTACTTCACTGCTTGACATTGCGTGGTCCTGCCGCGG